CCAAAGCATGACTCCTCTGCTTTCCCAGACACCACAGGACCAGATGCAGCAGTTCGCCAGGACTCTGCCTCCCTGCCCGCCTCTCCCCTGCCACCTGCTCCCCACCTCCTCTGCTCTGAGATGTGTATTTTCACGCTCTCACTCACATATTATCTAGCAGTGTCTTGTCTTTTTTTCTAGTATCTAATTTAGGCCGGGTGCAGATTTGCTTTCCCTTTTCCCTTTTGTGCCACTGCTTCTTCCCAACCCACTCCACCTGTGGCAGGGTAGGGGGGCAGGGACAGGTGCAGGAAGTGCAAAGGCAGGATAAGGAAGAGGAGAACCATGGTCTTGGGTGGGGAATGAACACGAAAAGGCAAAGTCAACACATATCACACCCCTAATACTACATATAAACTCTTTGTGTCCCTTAGATAGAAAGCAAAATCAAGACCTTTTTTCCTCAAGTCCCAATTATTACCCAAGGTCTTCCTTCAAAACAGCAGACATGATAGGCAGAGAGACCAGAGACCTTGCAGCCAACGGCTCTCCAAGCACAAGGCTCTGTGGGGCCATGCAGGGCTGAGAGCTGGGGGAGCTGCTGGGAGGACCTCAGGAGACATGCGTCTTGTCTGGAAGCTCCTGGTGATGGACAGGTTCTCCCTCTCCTCCTGGAGCCACACATAAGGTTCACTCTCATTCATTAAGCAAGGGGCGTGCGTGTGCGTGTGTGTGTGCATGCGCGGGCACGTTCCTGTTGACATCATCAATATTAATGATGTTGATGAAAATAATAGAGACACAGAGAGGTAAGTACACAAGATGCGCTGCGTCTGAGTATAACCTGGAGAGGTTACTAAGGGAAAATGTAGGTCCCAGGGGCTCATGGGCCTCCCCCATTTCCTGCAGGGACTGCTTATCCACCTCCCTCCCCACCCCAGCGGTGTTTGTTTGCCAGACTGAGCTGGTGCCGTCCTGAATGGCCACTCTGCTCACTGCCTGGGCTAGAGGTCATTCTTTGTAATTATATCTCTGTCAGAGGGTTCTGGCTGCCTGCCAGTCCTGGTTCCTGCCTTCCTCTGGCCTGCCCTGGGAAATGGCACCATCAGCACAAATACTTCCTTCTCCTCGTGGGGCCAAAGAACGGGGAGACCCTGCAGTGACCCTCATTCAAGGCACTGGAGCCAAGGCATTCCCGTGCCCTGTGACCCCTCTTACACACCTCACATCCTCACAGGACCCTGGAGAGTGACCTTGGGTCTCAGCCATCTGAGGGGACACAGCCAGGTTCACTCAGCTCAGAAAAAGCCTTCCCTGGGAACCTACCCAGTTCCGATATTTCCCCTCGCACAGGGAGGGTTCCTTCTGGGAAACCAACCAACTGGATGGAGCCCAGGCAAGGCCCCAGCGCCCCTGCCCTCAGCTCCCTGGAGGCCCTTCCTCTGGGTCTCTCTTCCCAGCAGCCTGGGCTGGAAGCACAGAGAGGGCGCTACACAGCCGAGCCTTCCTGGGAACGGCCACTGAGATGCTCAAAGGAAGCTCCCCCTCCATCTGGGACTCCATCATCCTCCCACTGTCGGGGACCCTGAGCAGTGGGCACGGACATCTGTCTTCCTGCGCCCTCCTCCCTCTCCAAACAGTTACCTCAGCTGTCCCCCCTCAGGGGGTCTCCGCCACTTCGGGAAGAACCCAGCTTCCCCAGGGTCAAACACCCTCTTCTAGCCGACCCAAAGGCCCTGAACTAACCCACTGGTTCCACAGCTTCTACAATGTACGAGTGTCCAACTCATTTTCACTGGGGGCCGCATCAGCTTTGTGGTCGCCTTCACAGAACCATATGTAATTTTAGGACTGTTTACATGTAACTACTCCTTAACAGTTAAGCGAGAGCTCAGTGCTGCTGCCGGGCAGAAACAAGGCGCTGGACTGGATAAAACAAGGTCCCAGCCCCGGATTCAGCCTGCAGGCCTCGTGCCTGCCACCTGTGTTCTGCATCCAGGGCTGGCAGCTGTGGCCCCTGGCAGAGAATCATAAAAAAAAAAGACCCTGAGCCCTGGGTTCTCGAAGGGAGAAGGGAGCCGCAACGCACAGACAACTGCAGAGCCGCCACTCTGACCACTGATCCGTGAGACCCCCAAAAGACAGCAGGGCCGCACGCAGGTCGGGGTGGGTCACTTGCAGGCCTGAGGCAGTTGAACTATCTGTAACTTTCTACCATCTCCCCCAGTCCTCAGCTGGTACCCAGATGAAATTGGGCCGACGTGAAAAGCATCCTGTGAGGTGGGAGTAAGATTCCAAAGAGGGAAACACTCAAGGGGAGGAGGAGCCCGATGCGCTTTGCCAGGTGGTAGGGAGGCAGGACTGGCCAGGATGACCCCTCTTTACTTCCCAGCTGCTGGCCTCCTGGGTGTGGGGACTAGAGAGGCTCCTGGGCCCGTCCCCTCCGGCAGCAGTGCCCGGGAGCCCTCCGCTCCCCAAGGCAGCTGGCCCGGATCTAGCCAAGTTTTCGCTGCCATCTCTTCTCCCACCAGCCCCTCTCGGCCCAGCCAGGCCAGGAGGGACCTGGCAGCTTATCCCAGAGTCAGAGGAAACATTCCTAGCGGGAGTAGCATAATCTACTGGGGTCCAGCCAGAAGACCCTCTGACCCTCCCAACATCCAGCCAGGTGAAGGGCACTGCTTCTAAGTCACCCTCAGAAGCCCCCAATCAACAGGGAGCTAGAGCCAGGGGCCCCCAAGAAAGAGGGGTCTGGCTTGGTGTCCAGAACTGAGCAAAAAAATGGGTTGTAATAACTCTTCCTCCCGACCCCACGCCCTCCATAACTTCCTCCTGGAGTGGAAACCAGGTTTCTGGTTCCTCGTCAAGTGCCACCTTCCTCCTCCTTCCCTCTCCGTGTGAGCCCACTGCAAATGACAGATGCGCAGCTCCAGGAAGGGCCAGGCGCGGCCTCTCCTCAGGGCAAGTGAGAAAGTGGCTCTGGCCCAGATTCACCCTGTCCCCTGGGGTGTGACGCAGGAACACTGGAGGGCCCTGCCGCAGGCAGCAGGGAGGGCCTGAGAGAGGAAGGGAGGCTGCTGTCCTGGCACCTGCAGGCAGGGCGGAGGTCCTGGGGCCCCCACCCCCCACGCTTGGACTCAGAGAAGAAACTAGGGGCCCCTCTTTGCTGAGCCCCCAGGCCTCAGGTTGCCAGTGACTTTCCTTCAAGAACACAGAGCACAGCCTGTCCCCTAAACTTGCCCCCCTTGGGAAAACAATAGTAATCATCTCATTTTTCTTCCTTAAACTATCTGAACTGTTTAAGGGGAGGACTGAAGGAATCGTGCTCTTTGTTCGAAGCACAAAGAGGAACCTGCACCATCAGTGTGACTCTCCAGGGCATCATGAACCATCGCTAAGAAACTCTAACGCTCCCCCCACCTGAAAGTCTGTTATCTTCCCAGCTCTGAAGGAATCTGGCCCCCTCCAACACACACCCCCGACCCCACTAGCCAGCTGGTTCGGCCAGTGAGCTGAGCCTGGGGAGAGGCTTCCCTTTGGCCTGCCTGGCCCTGGGGTGATGTCAGGCGCAAGGGAGCCTGGGGACCTGCAGGCTCCTGCCCCAGGTGCCTCCCATGAGCCAGTGGGGAGTTGAGAAGGAAAGCTTGCGTCTCCGAGCAGCAGCCTTGTCTCTGTTCCCTCACAACGTTGCCTGCATTTGCTGTAGGCCCGAACAACAGTGTTTCAAACACACCTACAGGAAACAGAAGGTTTCAACTTCCGGCGTGGACTCTGCAGCCTCGCCTTCTCTGGTTGGTGGGAGCGACATCGGAGTGAAACCGAGGCACCCTGGCTGCTCCAAAGATCTGAGCTGGGAGTCAACATCATCATCATCCCCCTTGGTGGCCTTTGTACACAATGACAAGAGCTACTGTGCTGTGAGGACCTTCGTGCCAGGCCCGCTGCCAGGGTCGTCGCAAGCATCACCTCTAATTCCTGTAACGACCTGCTGGAGGGGCCACACCTCCCCACCGTGCAGATGTGGAAAACAAGGCTCCAAGAGAGCAAGTCATTTCCCCAGCGCCAACCAGCTAGAAAGTAGTGGAGCGAGGCTTTACCCCAAAAATGAGCGTTCCCCCAGACTGAATTACAGCTGTCAGCAGGAGTCCATGGCCCAGGCCAGGCTGCGCTGCTCTAGTAGAGGAAATATCTCGAGTAATTTCATTCTGAAGTCCCCAGCGGGAGGGTGAATCCCTCACCTCCCACCACAGACAGACCGTGCACACAGTGTCCTTGTCACAGCTTTGGACTAGTGGCTCTGACCACAGGCAGCACGGCCTTTAAAACATAAACCCCCTTTGGTCAAAATGGAGTTTCTAAGAAGGCATTAAACCTTGGCTAACTCACACTAGAAAGGGGTCACAGAAATCATTTGGGAGTCCCTGCCTGCCAAGCACTGCTCTCCAGTGGTAATTTATGTCACATTATGCGTTTTAGGTCTCCCAGCGTGGCTGAGGAATAGGCAGGGCAAGCAGTACTATCTGCATTTCACAGGTGGGCAAACTCAGGTTCAGAGGTTGAGTGACTTGCCCAAGGTCACACAACTACTCAACGCCAGAGGCAAAACTAAAACTCTCATTATCCACGTGCACCCTATGATTCTGGCTCATTTTCTGGAGCTCAAAGGAAGACCAATATGAAGTTTAATATCACCTTCTTTTTTCCAGTGCAGAAGGTGATACTTGTGACTATGTCTGCTCGAGTGCCCTGAAAGTGCTGTCTGGCTCTGCTAGCCCCGCCTTCCAGATGGGGAAACTGAGCTCTCTGGGGAAGGTGGGGGGGTCATCCTGCAGGGAGTGAAGGTGAGAAGGGAACTCTGGGCCTTCCTGCTCTCCGCCCAGAGCCTGACCACTCCCACCACAGTGGCAGGGTACAGCGCCCTCCTCGTCTGCAAGGCTCATTCCCACCTGGACAGCTTCGGAGGGCAGCCGGCATGGCTGGAGGTGGGCCAGGGCCGCCCCCCCCCCCGCCGCCCCGCATCTGCTTTTAGGTGGGGACAGATCTGCACACACTCCAATGAGGGCCCATCAAGTAGTAGGGCCACAGTTCTGGGTTTCAGATTTGCATTTTTAACTTTTAAGCCATTGTTGTATTTGGGAATATCTTGGTAACTTTTTTCCTAAAATTAAGTGGAAGTGACTTTCAAAACTAGTACTCGGCCTTCCAGGACACCCCACTCTGGGTCTGGGGATGGGAGATAGAGAGCCAGAGCAGCGGGAGAACGTGTCCCTCTGATGTGATGCCCCTCCTGAGTAAACAAACAGTGTGGCAACACAGTGCAGGAGCAGCAGCAGTTCGCCAAACCCGCCCTGGGCCTCCAGCATCCAGAACAGGTTTGCCAACCAGCAGGGGGAAGGGACTGTCTTATGAAAAAGACGAAATCCCATCTGGACAGAGCCCTTTAAATGAGATCATTACGTATGCGTGTAACGCACTCCAAGGCCACAAGCCCCTGCAGCAGAGTGACCCCTGTTTCTTGCCACAGGTCATTCGGCAAAGAACTGAGGGAGACCAACACAGCTTGGCTCCACGCCAGGTGGCCGTGGGTCCACTGGCCAAGAGCAATTAGCCGGGGAGGAAGGTTCTCGCCAAGTTGCAGAGTGAACGCTGCAGCGGGCTGAAGTGGCCCAGCTAGCCCCCCGCCTGCAGGTCTCCAGGGGCTTCTTCAGGAGCTGAAGGGCTAAAAATAACCTCGGCCTTTGTAGTAAGCAGCCGGACCACAGAGATGGCGCTGACTTCAGGGAAGCCGAGCATGCGCAAGGGTCCCACTCACCGAGACCTGCCCTTTGGGCAAATGATTTTTCCAGAAATGTGTCAGTTATTGTGTGCTGCTGCTGTTGCCACTGCTACTGAGATTCAAAGACAGCCCGATCTGCTCCGGCCCACGGGGCTGACTTCCCGCACAGACTTCTCACAATCTGAGCCTTCCCACCTCTTTCTTCTCTGATACATTAAAAAAAATTTAAAAAAAAAAAAAGGCAAGCATCCATCCTACACTGGCGAGCTTAGGAGACAAAAGCAGCCCTCAAGCAGAGGGTGCTGCGTTGCTTGCTCATAAATGATCACATCCCCCCAATTGTTTGTTCAGGTAACAATTATCTCTCCGCCCTCCTAAAATTTCCAGTCAGGTCTCAGTAGACAAGGGCAGACATATACTTCGTGGAAGGAAGAAACTACTTGAGAAAGAATTCACAGCGTCATCAATACTGAAGAGCCTCTCAGAGCTGCAGTCCTTTCCACGGACATTTGGGGTTTTGACTGGGCAGTCCTCTCCACTCACCTTCCTGGTTCCTGAGTGCCGCCAGGGAAAGCCCAAGACCCAGGCTGGGTGGAAGGCAGAGTCGCAACACCTTTCTCTGCCCAGAGGCTGGGGCCCATCTCACCTCGGGGGTGCTCCAGTTCTGAAGGCGAAGGGACAGCACAGCCTGGTCCCCTGAAAAACCACTCCTGGTGGGTCACAAATACTTATCGGCCACTGCAGGGCCTCAGAACTATCTTTGAAATGTCTCCTCCCACCCCTCAGCGCCTCTGCTTCCCTCCCAGACCCATCAGGAGACCGCCCTGGCTATGGTACCACTGGCTATCAGCTGGGGGTCCAGAACGCAGCTCTTCCTCTTCTCAGAGACCACGGAACAAGGAGCCATTTTCACTGTCAAGATGGCCTCCAGGCTCTGAGCCTAGAAGTTTCCAGGGAGGCTTCTAATAAATAACAACTTCTTTACGGCCCTTTGTTCCTCTGCTGATTTCAGGATGAACAGTCCACGCTGGAAGCAGGAGGCTGTGAGTAAGTTTCTTAGAACACAACGGACAGAAAACACCAGACTACACGTGAATAACGGATGCATGGTCACAAAACGCCATCCCTTATGATGGGTGCCAGTGAGGGCTGCAGGGCCAGGGCAAACGGGAGAGGGTTCCACAGGGCTGGGGCACTCGGGCTGCCCTTCACAAGGGCGAGACCCTTCCGGGAGAAGCAGGGAGGGGCTGGCTGGAGTGTGGGAGCCTGTGGGGGGTGGGGTACGCAGGTCCTCGCCCGCCTGACCCCACATTTCCAGGCCCTCTGTGATCACTGGTTTTCCTTACAGGTGGTCTGTCTGCAAACAGGGGAGCAGGGGCTCGATCTGGACTGAACTGGGCTCTGGCTGGACCTCTCCAGCAGCGAGTCACCTGCTGTGAGCTGGCGGCCTAGGCTTGGCAGCCGAAGGCTGAGGCTTTTTCTTTGAGCAGTTCCCAGCATAAGTGGCAGCTCCAGCTTCCTGCAGGAAACAAGACGGCATCACTAGCAGCATCACTCCCAAGCCTCCAGCCCCACTCCTGAGGCCCTAACTTCTTGTAAGCCCTGTTTCCTTTTGACTTTCACAATTCAGAGACCAAGTCCCAATCCTGAAAACATGCTGGAGTCTGCAGCTCAGCAGCCAGTAAGTGCAGCTCAGAAAACAGTAAGTGCTCAGAGATGATTGGCTGAACTGCCGTCCGGGGCCTCCCTCCTGGATCGCGCCTTTAACCAGCACCTCGGGGCCTGGGCCCATTCCCCTGGAAGCTCACACCTCCTGCCACCTCAGCCATGTGTCTGGGAAACATCCCGTCGGTCCTCAAGTTGAAATTTCAGCTGGATGAACTGTGCCTCAGCTTTCTCATCTATAAAATGGTAGCGGTCGTACCTACCTCGTAGGGTTGTGATGATTAAATGAGACAAGATATGAAAAGCCCTTAGCACAAGGACTGCACCATTGTGAGGGCGCAGTAAGTGGTAGTGGTAGCTGCTCTTGTGAGTGTCCATCTCATCGCCATTACCTTCTGGGGGCTCAGCCACAGGGGGATTCAAACAGTACATGTGGTAGCCACGGTCACAGTCGTCACAGAACAGTAGCTGGTCCTGGTGGAATACAGAGTAGGTGGTGAGGAGGAGAAACAGACTCAATTATTTAAGGCCAACATCCAGGCCCTACCTACCCCACCTGCTTTATTTCCACAGATCGACCCCTGCCCCTTCCCAGAACCCGTTCAGAGTCTCCACTGTCCCCTGAACATGCCCTGTGCTTTGCCCACACCTGGACCTTCACTGTCTGCCTCCCCAGCTATGCAAATCCTACCCTTACTTTAGAATTCTGCTCAAATCATACCTCCTCCAAGAAGCCTTTCTTGACTACCACCTCACATCTAAGCTAAAAGAAATTCATTATTCTTCTGAACACCCACAGCCAGTTACCCTGATTCTGTAAGGGCAGAAATCTAAATTTATGCATTTCTATATTCCCATGAAGATTGCCTAGTAGAAGAAAGTACTTAATGCATTTGAAGATTTTACTTGAATTCCTCTGAACATCACACCTTCCATCTATGAAACACACAAGGACCATTCATTCTTGGTGGTAACACCTGTGACACCTCAGGACCATTTTAAGGTTTCATTATGCAAAGGCAGAGAAATGCAAATGAAGTCGTTCTTCAGCTCCCCAAAACCTCAGGAGCTGGAGGCTGGAGCCCAGGTGCGAACAGGACCCTCCAGCTGTGATGTACGTCCAAGGACACAGCTTGCACCTTTGCTCCTGCAGGTCCCTCTGCCTGGAGGCTCTCCCAGGCCCCAAACCCTTCTCTTCTGGACCATTCCCTACCCATCTTCCAAGTCTTCAAACCCTTACCTCCCACAAAGACACCACTAATCGACTTCAACTGGAAGTTCTCTATGCCCACTTATGCCCCATAGTACTTTTCGTTTCTTATGACACTTTATTGCATTTTCCTCTACATTACCAAGCCTGGTATGTGGCAGACTCCTAACTATCCTATTGAATAGTTCATTTGGAACATGCCTCTTTTGTCCACTCCTTTAGGGTCTGTAAGGCCCTAGGGCAGAGCCTTGTCTTACATCCCTGTATCTCCTGCAGAACTTCCTTGCACATAGAAGCTCCTCAGTACATGTCTGTGATCTGGTCCCCATTCTCCAGGCTCAGTTCTGTTCTATTCAGTGATCTTTGGACCTGCTTTCATAGCTTATAAGACATTTGCAAAATAGTTTTGTATCAAGTCTCACCTTGGCACCCACCAGTGCAGAGATCCTGGAAAAAAAATAGATACAGAAGTTGGAAACCCCGGTGAGCAAGCAGTGAGGAGGGAGATATCATGAAAGGCCTTTTGTATCATGCCAAGACTCTTCAGTGGGGCAGTAAGAAGCTTTTGAAGAGTTAGAATAGGAGTGACATAGTTAGACTTGCAACTTAGAAAGACCTCACTAGCTACTGTGCAAAAATAGATACCCAGGTGGAGAGAGGTTGCTTCTAGAGGCCAGAGACCAGTTAAGAAGAGGCTAAGCCATCCAGGTGAGAAACGATGGAGGCCTGGACTGGGACTGTGGCATAGGGGAAGACGCAGGATCTTGCTTCTATTTAAGAATGAATGATTAGATGTGGAGAGCGGTAAGAAAGAAATCAAGAATATCTCCTGGGTTGTGACGTGGACAGCAAACCAGCTGCCCACTGGGCATGGACACAGAAGCAGACCTGCGGAAAAAGAGGGCGACCTCAGCTGCAGACAGGTTCCACAGATCTACAGATCACCTGGGAGGGCTGCCCTAGAGGCACAAGGGGATCAGGAAAGAGGCGTGGGCATGAGAGATGGATGTGGGAGTCATTTGGGATTAAACAGCAAGGATGGTCCTGGGAGAGGAAGCCCAGGGTGTGTGAGAGATGTCCTTGAACTTGTGCTCATGGAGCAGTGTCCATGAACTCCTTGAAATTATATTCACAACTCTGTATATAGGTAGGAATAAATGTATATTTTCCTGAGGAAAGAGTAAATCCACAGCTTTCATTGAAAAGCTACTTCTGAAAAATCAAGGACTCATAAAAGTTACTGAGAAAAAGGCCAAGAATAGACCCTTGGGGAACACTACTTCAAGGGAAAGGGAGGGGAAAAAAGAGACTGAGGCGCACTCAGAGAAGTAGAATGAAAACAGGACAGTATGGTTCACACCAAAAAAAAAAGTTACACCATGACTGGCAAGCAGAAGTAAGCTATTTGACAGTATGATTCAGGGATAATATGAGGAGAAGGAAATTAGGATGAGGACAGAACACAGGGAGAGACTTATCAAAACAGTATTAACATCCCAAAGACACTGAGACCCCCACTGCAGTGTTGACACGAGACACGAGAAGGGAGAACACCCAGAGTGAACTTTCCTACAGGGAAGCCAGGCCTCTGTGGGTTTAAATGTGTTCTGCGTGGGGCTGATCGTTGTCCAGAACCCTATCTTCTTTCCTGTCTGCTTTTCAGGATAGTTGCCTGTCAGAACTACCAAGAACCCTAACTCACGCTACCCTCCATGAGAGACACAGTTTAAGGACCTCTTACTCCCAAGTATGCGAGAACCAGGACCCGCCCACGGCCACAGTTCCAGAAGCTTCAAACCCCACTCTGGGATGCACAGCATAAACCCCTGACTGTGCGAGAGGAACCCTACTGCCCAGGCAGCCTTACTCCTTTAGATCTGCCCCTGAGGCTCTGCTAAGTCAACGAAACACCTCAGCCTTACTGCCATTTGTAAAGCCAGGCACCAGAATCAACCCACAGGGCCAGCAGTAAGTAAGAGACTGACTGAGCAGGAAAAAGGATTATGTCTGTATGTTGCTATGGAGTAATCTCCAGGATTTTCAGTGCAAAAGCAAAATGAAGAAAATACGTCTCTCACCATTTTCTACCAAAGTGCATCCATTTTCTTATAGCTGCATATGCACATACATATGCTTACATTAAAACACATTGGAAAGATAAAACATAATTTTTGAAAATGGTTACCTATAAGCAAAATGAGAGGATAGTGTAGAACAGGCAGGGGTAGAAGCTAGGTTTTGTTAAAATACTATTTATTTTATAAATTTGAATTGGAACCAGTAAATATTTTACATAGTCATAACACAAAATTCACATTGTAATTGCCCTACAAACCAAAGAAAAATGAAATAAAATCATCTAATTATGTATCATTTGGTGGTATAACATGTAGAAAGAACTATTCCAAGTGACTTTTTAAATTAAATGTACTGGGGTGACACTGGTTCATAAGATCACACAGGTTTCAAGTGTATGTTTCTATGAGACTCAATCTGTACTTTGCACTGTGTGCCCACCACCCACGGTCAGGTCCTCACCCTTTACTACCCACCACCCCCAAGTGACTTTAAAATAAGTCGTTTGACTGTACATCCTTAGTCAAATGTATCTTAGGACAAAAATAAGGGCAAATATGTGTGTGTGTGTGTGTGTGTGTGTGTGTGTGTACCGTATTTTGCTGTGTATAATGTGTACTTTTTTGCCCAAAATTTTTAAGGGAAAAATGTGCACTATACATGGGTAGTTCTAATTCTGTATCTATATGTGTTTTTGATTTTTTTATTTATGCTTATCCATTAAAAGTTTAACCCTAGAAAGCAATAATACCCATATGCAAAATAATACCCTAGAATATGATTATCAGTTTTGTTTATAAATATAGATAAATAAAAAATTGAATTAAAAAACTAAAACTGAAGATTTTTCTTCCTGAAAGTTTGGGCCAAAAATGTGGGTGCACATTATATATGGCAAAATGCAGTATTCGGACAATTCAGAAGGCTGCATCTGTGGGCAAACAGTGATTGGCAGCTTTATCACAATAATGTGCCCACTCAGGCATCATGTCTCGTGCAGAGTTTTTTGGTAAAACATCAAATCACCCAGGTGACTCAGTCCTCCTACAGCCAAGATTTAACACCCTGTGACTTTGGCTTTTCCCAAAACTGAAATCACCTTTAAAAGGGAAGAGATTTAAGACCATCAATGAGATTCAGGCAAACACAATGCGGCAGCCGATGGTGATTAGGAGAACTGTGTGAGGTCCCAAGGTGCCTACTTTGAAGGGGACTGAGGTGTCACTGTCCTGTGTACAATGTTTCTTGTATCTTGCATCTTCTTCTATAAATGTCTCTATATTTTATATTACCTGACTGGATACCTTCTGGATAGACCTTGTATATTTAATGCCATTTTATTATTCATATTTTTTTATCTGTTTTCTTCTTCTTAAAAAAAACCCTTTAACATCTCATAAATACTGTTTTGGTGGTGATGAGCTCCTGTAGCTTTTCTTGTCTAGGAGCCTCTTTATCTGTCCTTCAGTTCTAAATTATAACTTTGCTAGTTAGAGTAATCTTTGTTGTAGGTTCTTGCTTTTCATCACTTTGGATATTTCTTGCCAATCATTTCTGGCCTGCAAAGTTTCTGCTGAGAAATCAGCTCACAGTCTTAAGAGAGCTTTCTTGTGGGTAACAAACTGCTTTTCTCTTGCTGCTTTTAACAGTCTCTCTTTGCCTTTAACCTTTGGCCTTTTAAGTATAGTATGTCTTGGTGTGGGCCTCTTTGGGATTATCTTGTTTGGAACTCTCTGGACTTTCTGGACTTGTATGTCTATTTCTTTCACCAGATTAAGTAAGTTTTCCATCATTATTTCTTCACATTGGCTTTCAATTCCTTGCTCTCTCTCTTTTCCTTCCAGTACCCCCGAGATGTGAATGTTGGCACACTTGAAGTTGTCCCAGAGGTTCCTTATACTACCCTCATTTTTTTTAAATTCTCTTTTTTCTTTTTGCTGTTCTGATAGAGTGTTCTTTTGTTCCCTTATATTCCAAATCACTGATTTGACTCTTGGCTTCATCTATTCTACTGTTGAGTCCCTAAAAATTATTCTTCATTTCAGTTAGTGTATCTTCATTTCTGCATGTTTCTTTTTTATGGTTTCCCTGTCCTTTTTTTATGCTATTAAAGTTCTCACTGAGTTCACTGAGCATACTTATAGTGTTTTGAAGTCTGCATCTAGTAGATTGCTTGTCTCCATTTCTT